AAATATACTGAAAGCCATTAAAAACATGAAATATTTCTGGTAAACGTTTTTTGGGGCTTTCCTATCTTATGGCACATAGGTGGAGCTTGTGATGGGTCTCTTTTTGTGGAGTTCTGGGTTTAACCCAATATCAGTTCTCGGTAATGAACTTTGTTCCTGCAAACGCAACACTTGTCTCATGTCACACGTTTTGCACGTGCATTCCCTGCACTCTGGCCCTTTAAATACAGATCAAGAAAACAGGAACAGCTATTAAGCGACTTTCTGAACAATCATCATGTCCGTGTTATGGATTGGCCCGCTAAGTCTCCCGACATGAACCCGATCGAACACCTTTGGGATGATCTTGGACGACGGGTTCGAACTCAAGCCGTGCCACCACGAGTTGGCACAGGCACTCCAAAATCATTGGGAAACAATCCCGTGAGACATCTGTGCCAGTCCAAGCCAAGGCATGTGTAAGAGCTCAGGGTGGACATACCCGATATTGACTTCAGCTGACCCCTGCTTTGTTTCATGGTTTTCTGACGTTTCGGTTTTGTGCATTTGTAGTGAATTCTTTCATGTAATTATCTACAGATGCTTGTTATCTCGATTTTATCAATTGTTATGTACATTTGTTAAAAGTTGTTGCAGTAAATAAACTTTGAATTTGGCATTGCGTTTTTAATGGCTTTGAGTGTAGAAAACATAATTTTTATAGAGTGGTCTTAAACTTTTGTCTATGACTGTTAGTATATCGGTATATACGATGCAGTTGGTCGTGATCGGAATAAGTGTGAGAATCATAAAAATAATGCGTTTCGACATACTACACACAGGGACCGTACGCAGATATTTGTCACAAGTGTTCAGCCAATGTTATGCGGATAAGAACGTACCATCAGTAGCACTGGTAGTATTAATTGTCGCAGTCCTCTACTCCTATATTCATATATCCACATAACATTGACTGAACACTTTCAAATACAAAATGAAAGAGAGCAGCAAGCTGGGGGTCATAAATTTAAATGCCTGGATGATTTACTTATTCACATCCGGGTTTATTAGTATAGAAATTTATTATTGGGAGTAGAGATTTATGGTTAATTTCATATTTTGAAGAAAAAAAATAGTCTCAAATAGTGAAATTTTATATTTTTTTTATGATATTTTTACATTCAATGATAACTACATATATATGAGAAATGACAAAATTTTATGAAAATATAAATGCTTGTATATTGTACGGTCCCTGTATAAGAAAGTAAGCTTCTGCTACCCGGGTCAATTGCATCAACAGGGATGGCTGACAATATCCCTTAAAAAGTGAACATACAAGTACCAAACATGATAGTTATGTTTTTGTAATTGTCATACAAGTGCACGCAAATGCCAGTTGTGTTTTTTATGACTGATATACAAGTACACAGAGATGATTCTATTCATAACCAAATCGTATTCTCTCATGAGATGCAGTAATACCTAAGATGTGTACAATTTTAACACCGGAAATACGTGTTGGCTGTTGGGTTTGCATGAGAATCCAGATTCCATCGGCGGGTGCAGCGGTACAAATACCCTATATTTATATCGTTAAGCGGGGATTCAATTTGTAAAACATCTGATCCACAGTTTATAATAAAAACCATCAATCTGAGAGGGCACAAAAAAGCTATATCGTGGGGGTGGGGGTAGCATATCTTATCCACGGTATATGCTGATAACCGCATTGGAACAACACGACGTGATCGCGCCCCTTCTCATTTACTGTACTGTTTGAGAATACTAATAGTTATTTTTTGGTGTTTTAGAAATATTTTCTGGACAGAACATTGCTTTCATGAAATCTGCTATTCAAAGTAGTGTGTATCTAACTAATACGGCAGGCCATGCTGTGGATGGTAATAATTCAACAAATTTTTATTCCAACTCGTGTGTACATACTGCAGTGGATAATAATGAATATGAATGGTGGGAGGTTGATCTGGGGGCAACATACGATATCACCGATATTATTATATTTAACCGGGCAGATTGTTGTGGTAAGTCAACATATTGCAGCACTAACAGTCCAAATAAAACAGCACAGACAATCCAAAGTGTGTTTGTATGTAGAATTTTCGACTATGCGAGAAACTCAAATTCGATTTTACCGTCGGAAAAGTTACATTGATGTGCAGCAACTCATGCTTACGGAGTTTCAGACCTCTATTGAATTGCCAATTTTAGACGGCTTTCATAAGATCTACATTATTAGTTATCATTTCATAATTATCTTATTACACCATGGTTTGGTTATTTTTATTCCTTTAAATGAAATCACAATCTGGCAAGTCACTGAATTTTGACAAAGTTTGGCGCACAACCAGAATGTTCTGGGTTCAATTCTCGTCGTATCGTGGATCGAATCCGTAATAACGATAATCTGTGTCGACATTAAGTTAGATTCTAAAAAAATAATATTGGAGATCACCCGAACTTTATGGAATTCTAAATTGTATTTACAAAATATTTTATTATGATAAAGAGAATATATTAAACATATAATAGCTTTGAATACTACTTTCTGTGCACACCTCAAAGTGGCCTGTTTTTGGCAACATATCTTGGAGGCTGTAGTTAACCGACGTTGGGAACATTTTGTTTGTTACCCTCGGTTTCAAAGTAATATTATTACTGAACCAATACACGAATTAATTTTGAAATACGTACGTCAAAGTAAATTGTCTAAGAATTTGGAATGTTGAGTTCTTCCTTTTTATTTGGTGTTTATGAATTACATTTTTCTATATCCGATTGACAAACTTATTAGTTTAATGTGAAGATACAGTTAAATATGATCCGATCCGAAAGGTTGAAATGCGATAGGGTTCTTCATTTTAACCTAATCAACATTCCCACCGAGTTTTACGTTTGTTCAAAATAAATGTGAGAGAACTATAATAAAATTTTTTACATGTAGTGCTAACACCGTGCATTCAAAATAAATGTGGCACGAGGACGACGATCACAGGGGGCGGGGGGTAATATACGTTAAAATTCAGTTTATTTATGATGTCTTAAATTAATTGCCTTAGTAGTCACATATATTAAACAGCAAAAACAAACGTCAGTATGTTGACACATTAGTGATTAATTCATCACAATTCCAAGACATTACGATAAGGTTTAGAGTCTGTACACAGTCTATACATCACTATCCTATGGTGGCTGTTAGCGGCCATTCAAATGTAATCTAAATCGTCGCCTTGTAAAGAAGTCGACAAGTCGACGAAATCAACCCGCCGACACGACAAAATAACCCGACGATCGTCGCCTTCATTTCGTCGTGTCGGCGGGTTGATTTCGTCGACTTATTCACAACCCGACAAGGCGACAAGTTGACCAGTCGACGAAATACAATTATTTCGACTTGTCGTGCGGCGACTTGTCGCTTCGGAAGTTAATCTGTGCGCATGCAAGTTATCCAGTCAGCAAATGCGCAAGCTCGAGTTTGACTTCCGAGGCGACAAGTCGCCGCACGACAAGTCGAAATAATTGTATTTCGTCGACTTGTCGCTTGTCGGGTTGTGAATAAGTCGAAGGCGACAAGTCGACAGAATTGATCCGACAAGGCGACGAAATGAAGGCGACGATCGTCGGGTTATTTTGTCGTGTCGGCGGGTTGATTTCGTCGACTTGTCGACTTGTCGACTTGTCGCCTTCTTAACAAGGCGACGATTTAGATTCATTTGAATGGCCGCTAACAGCCTCCATACTATCCGGTGTGCCCGCCGCGAGTGTCAATAACAGCAGCGCAGCGTCTGTACATGGAGTGGACCAGACGACTGATGAACGCCATTGGCACCTGGAACCACACTCTCAGAAAAGCAAGTCTACTCTGAATTTTATCCCAAAGATGTCCGGACTAAGGTCGGGCCAGTGCATAACATTGACACCGTTTTGCTGTAGAAAGTCCCGAGTAACTCTAACGGTGTGGGCACGGGTGTTGTCATACAGGAAAACGTTTCGATTCTCTGGATCAGGTCGATTCCACGCCTCTCCGTGAGTCTCGTTCCATGACACATTGGTCAGAATAACGCTGGCAACGTCCACGCCATATTCTGGTCCTGTCATCTGCAGTTGATACGCAATACCGACTCTTATCTATGAACAGAACAATTCTCCATTGCCTGTGTCGCCAGTCCTGGTGTTGTTGGGCAAACTGTAGATGTTCACGTCGATGGCGAGGGGTGAGGATCGGTCCACGGGAAGGTCTACGGCAATGAATGTTCTCTCTGGTGAGATGTCGACGCACTGTATCGGTACTGATGGGTCTTCCGTGTGTTCCCACTGTCTGATGTGCTGTCTCAGATGCCTGTGTGAAGGGATTCTGCACGTGCTGTCACACAACATCGCGGTCTTGTCGCCTTGTGGTTACCCGTGATCTACCAGTTCGGGGACGATCATCCGTGCGTGGTGTTGGTGGCCCGAAAGCGTTGCTGAAGCCTGTAGATGGTCCGAACATTGACCTGGAAGTGATTGGCAACGGCTTGGGCAGTGTGGCCAGCGCCGAGTCTTCCAAGCGCCTGGTTCCTCTGAGCTGTCGTGAGTCGTGGCATGCCGCTGACGTTGTAGTGTGAATGATTCAATTAGGTATGGGGGTGCATTTTATAGGGCTGGTCCCGGTGAACAGCACGTGCAGCATGAGTTGCATGAAAATCATGGATAACACATCACCATCTCAGAAGTCAGGTTGCGTTTTTGAGAAAATTTCCTGGGTTCAGTTCTGTATTTGGGAAGGAGCCTTGTTGCTCAGGTAAAGTTGGAGATGTGGTCACAAATATACAATAAAAACATTTGGCAAGTTTTTTGCAATGCGTCTATTCAGAGTAACATACCAACCTGACGTTTCTTTTGCTGCTTAGTATAGTTAACCCGTATTAATTAACCCGATTGATACCCATAGGACGTTAATCCGTAATTTTTACTTCTGATTTTGTTTCAGGAGAAAGATTGCAAAACTTCACAATACAAGGTGGTGTTGATTGTGGAACACCTGGTCCTAAATGTTATTCAGATTGTTATAAACAGGCTGATATTGTAGTAGTTAGTGAAAGAATATCGTGCAATAACTGTACAGCTAGGTATATTAAGATTTCATTGGATTATATTGAAGAAATAAACTTCTGCGAAGTAGAAATTTATGGCCAGTTATCATCAGGATCACCGGGTAAGGTTCTCGCCAAATGTAATGTATATAGGTTCACGTCAATCTGATTGAAACTCAGATGCACCCAAAGTAATTATATATAATTATTCTAATAATATTTTCCATCATAAAAGTCCACGATTGTTCAGCAAATTCCAAATTATATACTATTCAAAAAAAGTAGGGGATATTTGATTTTTAAGTGTTATTAAAGTCACCTAATGAAACTGACGAAGAAACAAATGACAAAATGAAATGAAGTTCACATTCATCGATTTATTCCAAATGATCGTTAGACTAAGTAAGGCACAGACTGACCATTATAAGGGTAAAATGATACCCGGGGTCAAACAGCAAAGTTACCACAGCATCACAACCAAGTCAGTAACGGGTAAATCCTCCTCTGTTTGCCAAACAAGCATTGATCCGACGTGGCATACTCCTAATGAGACGTCTAAGGTCATTTTGGTCCAGATTGTCCCATTCCTGTTGCAACGCAGCAGCAAGTTCTTGGACATTGGCAGGACGTTGTTGACGTTGACGTAACCTTTGTCCAAGCATGTCCCAGACATGCTCGATGGGGGAGAGGTCGGGACTCAGTGCTGGCCAAGGTAATGTGGTGATGTTCTGTTGTTGGAGGTAACCTGTAACGATCCTGGCCCTGTGACACCTTGCGTTGTCATCCTGGAAGATGAAACGGCGGCCATGACGTCGTGCGAACGGCACAACATGGACTGCCAAGATGTTGTCCCGGTAGTACTGGCCTGTAACACGCCCTGCAACAACATGTAAAGCCGTTCTTCCAGCAACAGTGATGCCTCCCCACACCATAACAGAACCACCCCCAAATCGATCATGTCTGATGACGTTAACGTCTTGGAAGCGCTCGTTTCGACGACGCCACACCCTCCTACGTCTGTCCAAAAAATCAACAGTGAACCTTGACTCATCTGAAAACATCACATTGCTCCAGCGTCGATTATCCCAGTGTTGACGATCCCTACACCAACGACGTCTTGCCTGAATGTGATGATCTCTCAAACAAGGGATCACGCGAGGACGTCGGGCGCGAAGGTGACCCCTATGCAGTCGATTCCGAATCGTCTGGCCACTCACTCTCACACCAGGCTCTGTTTGAAGACGAGCGCTGATCTGATTTGCTGTGATGACACGATTTCTCAAGTCCAAGGTACGGATAAATCGATCCTGGGCTTGAGTTGTCGCCCTTGGTCGACCTGAGCGTGGTCTGTCCTGTACAGATTGTGTGTCACGGTATCTGGACCATAGCCTGCTTATGACAGACGGAGAAACATTCATCGTCCGCGCCACAACCGCCTGTGTTGTGCCGATCTGTAGCATGCCAAGGGCACGTAACCTTTCATTTTGGGTAAGCCGACGCATATCAAAATTTGTTTTCTGGTCACTAAAACAATTAAACTGATGTTTCCACCCTGGAATTCAATGCCACAATGACTGTAACATTCAAAGTCAGAGTCGTGCAAATCTTGGGTTGGCCCCCATGATGATCCCAAGCATCACCTGCATTCCATGCGGTAGCTATTGGTGCGTTTGGGCGTCACATGTAACTGGAAATGTTTCTTCTGTTAGGTTCTATAGTGACTTTTTTCGTAGTCATTTGCATATTTTAGTAGTATGCCCCCAAAATCAAATATCCCCTACTTTTTTGTCCCCCGCCTTTCGAAGAAAGCAGGGGACTATTAAAATGGGTTCGTCCGTCTGTCTGTCTGTCTGTCTGTCTGTCTGTCTGTCCGTCTGTCTGTCCTTCTGTCTGTCCGTCTGTCTGTCCGTCACACTTTTTGGGACACAATAACTCTCTTCCTAATTGAGCTAGAATGTTCAAACTTGGTGTATGTGTTTATTAGGTCAATGCCTTGATGGAGTTCGAAGATGAGCATGTGTTAGTTTAAACATATTTTATTGACAAATATCAAAAGGATTGAGCACAAGTTTCAAAAACTTAGAAAAGCCCTTTCCATACATAGAAATGATAGACATTATTTAATACTAACAAGATTTCGAAATAGTATATACAATAATAAATAATTTATAAGTAATATAAGTAAAGTCAGATGAATTATATCTCAAAGCTCTATATAAAATAAGTTATCCACCAAAAAAGCTAAAGCTAATAATTTATTCTAAGATGTAACTACTAACAATAACTTTTATTTAAATTTAAATCGTTTTGAAAGTTTGATATATTTGTGAACTTCAAGGAAAAGGTTTGTATTCATCTCAATTGACAATTCTGAATTGCCGCACAATAGGATATCTATATTTATCACAGAATAACTTGACAATGTATTTAATAGTTCAGCACGAATTACATCATATAAGTGACATTGCAGGAAATAGTGTTCGGCATTTTCTATAAATTTGCCACAAGAACATGTGGGATCATTCACAACGTTTATTTCATACAAATCATTTTGCAACGAACTACACCCATGCCGTATTCTAGTGTGAATAATATTTTCATGTCTATTACCTTTACAGTAGTAGATTGGCGCTTTATGTATTAAGGAACGTAATTTTTGTTTGTATAGATATTTGAAGGATTTAAGAGTGGTTGATTGCTTTATGGGGTCCTCTAATAATTCCCAATCTCGAATTGTTGTGGGGAAGTACGAAGTTTGGTGTAATGCTGTTCTACAATAAGGATATCTATATTCGCTAATGTTTCTTAAATTGTATTTTTGTGGTGTTTGTTGATAATATTCTAGAATGTCATATAAGTATGCTGGGTTTCTCTGATTTTTAATTTGAAAAAATGTGGTTAGTCGCTTTTGTGTACGTCTGTCTGACAATTTATTCCATCCGGTTTCAAAATAAAGCGCTTCACGAGAACAAGTTTTAGTTAGTCCAGTCACAATCCTGGCAGCTTCTAGCTGTACCTTTTCAAGTTTTTCGGTATTGGAAACGTTACACCCATCCCACACTTCACATGCGTATTCCAATTTTGGCCTTATGAATATCAAATATACGTTATTTAGAGTTTGTCTATTAAAGGTGAATTTTAGTTTACGCAAAATATTTAATAATTTTGAGGTGGACGAGATAATAGTTTCTATATGGATGGTCCATTTGGCGTCATTTGAAAGGGTAATGCCCAAGTGTTTGTGACATTTAACCACTTCAAGTGCTTGATTATCGAATATCAGACTCGGATAATTTTCTGTTTTTTTGGAGCTAAATAAAATAGCTTTTGTTTTGTTTGGATTAAAGTTTATAAGCCAATTATTCGCCCAAATGTTGAGATTTGTCAGATCGTAGTTTAGGGACTGTTCTATCTCTGAAACTGACTGTTTGCTACACCCAAGTGCCGTGTCGTCTGCAAATAATCTAGCCACATTATGGAGTACATCTTGTACATCATTGATGTAAGTCAAAAACAAAAAGGGGCCCAAAACTGATCCCTGGGGAACTCCTGATTGAAGAGTAATTTCTGATGACACAGAGCCATTTACGAATACCCGTTGAGTCCGGTCTTGGACATAACTAGACAACCACGTAATTAGCATGCCTGAAACCCCATATTGACTTAATTTGTGTATCAAACCAGGTAAATATACGCGGTCAAACGCTTTAGATATATCGAAAAAAACATAGCAGGAATATAGTTGCTTATCTATTGCAGATGAGATATCATGATACACTTCTAAAAGTTGATGAACAGTAGAGTAGTTCGGTCGAAACCCTGATTGGTATTTGTACAAGAGATTGTTTTCATGAAAATAGTTAAACAGGTGTTTGAAAACTACCTTTTCTAATAATTTGCTCAAAGAACTTAATAGGCTTATAGGTCGGTAGTTTGAAACTAGAGAGCTGTCTCCTTTTTTATAGAAAGGTAGGACATTTGCTTTTTTCCAAATTGTTGGAAAAACGCCTGATTCTAGTGATTTGTTAAATATATATTTTAATGGTACACATATTGAGGTTTTGGTATATTTTAGTAACTTGTTACTAATATTATCAAATCCATTGGCTTTTTTCAATTTCAGTGTACTTATAAGATCTGCGATTTCCTTTTCTTCGACTAAAGGAATATCAAGTTGACAATTTGTTCGCTTATTGAATTTTGGTAATTCTCCTTGCTGAGTGTTATTTGAAATTGATCCGAAATAGTTGTTAAGTAATTCAGCTTTATCAAAATTTGAATGAGCAATCCTTCCATTGGGGTCTAAAAGTGGAGGAATATCATTTGATACATTTTGGCCTAATACTTTCCTTAAATTATTCCAGTAATTCTGGCTATTTGTATCGTTAGAATTCAAGAAATTTGTGATTTCTTCTTTGTATTTTGTTTTTAACGCTTTTTTAAAATTATTTACTTTATTTCTTTGAACTTTGTATTTTCTTAAATCGCATTCATGTTGTGTTTTCAAAGCTTTTTTGTGTAACCTGTTTCTGATTCTTATCGCTCTACGTATTTCTGTATTGAACCACGGTTTGTCAGTTAGTCTTATAGTTATTGATTTCTTTGGTATGCACAATGTAATATAGCTATTTAAAATTTCATAAAATTTTGAACATACTAAGTTAATATCAGAATTTGCAAAGGTACTCTCCCAATCGTGTTCTTTGATAAGAGTATTTAACCTATTATAATTACCATCCTTATATACAAATATCTCCCGTTTAAAATTCCTGGGACTTGAAACTGGAAAATCTAATAATGCATAAACACCCTTATGATCGGATATGTCAGGAGTGACATTAATCGTTTCACTGGAACTAATCTGAATTTCATCATTTACTAAAATTACGTCTAATAAGGTTGATGACGTCCCAGTAACGCGTGTAGGTTCATCAATAACATTTCTGAGATTATTTAAAGATAAAATATCCCGTAGCTTGCAGCGTTGTGCTAGCAAGTCATCATTTAGATCACCTAAAATTACAACCTTAAGCGTGGTTTGATAGGCTAGTTCAATGGATCTTTCGAACAATGACCAGAATTCAATTGTGCTGTTTGGCGGGCGGTAAAATAAGGCAACAAGTAATACGGTGTTTGGAAATTTGCATTCCACCCAAATACTCTCTATACCTGTAACCTCAAGATCATCTCGCCGTTTGCAATAAATGGTTTTATTAACATATAATAATAATCCGCCACCATGCGACGTCCGATCCTTCCGGTATGGAGAATGGTAACCGTCCCATTTTAGAGATGAATCTAACACATAGTTATCCAGATGAGTCTCAGTGAAACTACAAATATGGTAATCATTGACATCGTTGTATATTGTTTCAAGTTTGTGTCTTATACTACGTGCATTTAAGTGATAGACTGATAGGTTTTCATTTGAATCGTGATTTGAAGGTCCAGGATTTTTATGAACGTCTCCTGATCTTAGAACTAATAAGGCTAAAACAGTACTTAGCAGACAAAAATTATCAAGTTCACATAAAACTATTGGAGATATTATTCGACATTGCCATTCTCAGATGCCTCAGATGTATGTGTTGATTAGGTCAATGCCTTGATGGAGTTCGAAGATGAGCATTTTCCGCTTAGGGTAAGCAGAGATAAGCAATTTGATTGGTTGATGCTTTGGGACACGATAACTTTTGATTGAGCTAGAATGTTCAAACTTGGTGTATGTGTTTATTAGGTCAATGCCTTGATGGAGTTCGAAGATGAGCATTTTCCGCTTAGGGTAAGCAGAGATAAGCAATTTGATTGGTTGATACTTTGGGGCACGATAACTCTCTTCCTAATTGAGCTAGAATGTTCAAACTTGGTGTATGTGTTGATTGGGTCAATGCCTTGATGGAGTTCGAAGATGAGCATTTTCCGCTTAGGGTAAGCAGAGATAAGCAATTTGATTGGTTGATGCTTTGGGACACGATAACTTTAGTTCTAATTAAGTGAGATTGATGAAACTTGGTGTATAGTTTCATTACAGTAATACCTTGACTAAGTTTGATAATGAGCATTTTCTGCTCAGGGTAAGCAGAGCGATACGCAATTTGATTGGTCGAGACTTTGGAAAACAATAACTCTCCTACTTTGATTGTCCCCCGCCTTTCGAAGAAAGCAGGGAACTATTAAAATGGGTTCGTCCGTCTGTCTGTTTGTCTGTCTGTCCGTTCCGCTTATGGTAAGCAGAAAAAACAAATTGAAAAAGAAACTATTATAAATTAATTAAATATGTAGTATGCAATAATGAATTGACATTTAATGACAGAAAGAAAACAGTGAACTTTGCACAACTTGCAGCAAGATGGAAAATAGACCCGTTGATACAACCAAACTCTAGATCTGTAGGCATAGAGCATGTTTTCCCCTTAATATGCTATAATTATTCCATCAAAAACATTGTATGCTTAGACTATAAGTAAAGATATACTGTTTGATTGTTCAATACTTTGTAAAAGATAATTTGTGATAAATTTATATGTGTCCTCTAATTATTTTCCTATTTCGGCGGGGGACATCAGCCTCACTGTTGGCTTGTTTGAATAGTATATTTTGTACCCTACACTCATGTGTGTTGCACAGTGTTGATTTTATTAAAGATGTATTATGTAAGAGTTAAATCTACCGATTGCAGGTCTTTATTTTGGTTTCAAAAGTTACCTAAACTATTATTCAGAAATTTATTCACATGACAAGCCTATAATCAACCCTCTACTAGACCATCGGATGATGGAGAATTAAGCGGGTGAAAACACGGTCGCCGTTTAATGATTTTTTTTGCACCCCTCCCCTTTCGAATTAAGTAGGGAACTATTAAAATGGGTCTGTCTGTCTGTCCGTCACACTTTTTGGGACACAATAACTCTCTTTCTAATTGAGCTAGAATGTTCAAACTTGGTGTAGGTATTTATTATGTCAATATCTTGATGGAGTTCGAAGATGAGCATTTTCTGCTTAGGGTAGGCAAATATAAGCAGTTTGATTGGTTGATGCTTTGGGGCACGACAACTTTAGTTCTAATTAAGTGAGAGTGATGAAACTTGGTGTATAGTTTCATTACACCAATACCTTGACTAAGTTCAATAATGGGCATTTTCTGCTCAGGGTAAGCAGAACGATAAGCAAATTGATTGGTCGAGACTTTGGAACACAATAACTCTCCTTCTAATTGAGCTAGAATGTTCAAACTTGGTGTAGGTGTTTATTAGGTCAATGCCTTGATGGAGTTCGAGGATGAGCTATTCATTAATATGTTTCATTTATTTATTTTTGGATTTATGTTGGCTTGTAAAAATGGCGAAGCGAGGCGTTGTCGCCTTAATAAACAATATATGTCCCATCTTGTCTAAAATTCAAACGGTAATAACTTTGCTCAGAATAAAGTAATATGAATGAAATTTTCAATATATTCATTTTTTGGTTTTTATCTATTACAGCAAAAAGGGGCGACTCTTTATCTAAATCTTACATAATGCTTCTTTAAAGGGCCAATCTCGATTATATTTTGGAGAATAAAACTGCTTAATTTTATGTTCAAAGCCCTTAAAATCCTCTACGTATCAATATACGTGATACGTTTTCAAACAACTTAAACCCGTCTTCATCTGGAACTGGATACCGACGTTCCAAGCTGTATTATGCGGTGTCTGGATGAAACCAGACTTTTATTTTATAAAAATAACGTGTAGTTGAAATATACCTTTCGCTGCCAAGTACAGCATGTGGATCATGCTCTGTATAGACCGCTAAAGGAAAGGCAATAGATTATCAGGTCACCCAACGAAAAAATTGATCCAAAATCTTAAAAGGGTTACGTGTCCAGATAAGCGGTTTTGACTTTCACGTCCAAACGATTCAATATTTTGATCTGAAATTTTGAGACGAGGTAAATTCACCATTCCTCTATATTTTGGAGTTTAAATTGCATACGTACCAGGACTCTTATTTCTGAGACTTTGTTAAAATCGGGATGATCCCTTTAAGAAACCCATTTTCTTATCATTTCAGGCACACAGGTTTGTTCCAAATATACTGGGGTTAGTTCTTCTCGGGTATCGTCTGAATACAGTACACTATCGATGGAACCGTCTTCTGTATTCTCTGAATATAGTTCGTCTGCCACAGAACTATCTTCTATTCTAGGCGTATTTTCTGAAGATTTTCTGTCTAGCGCTGTTGAACCCTCTACATCGAATTCCGCGTTGTCAACTTCTAATTATTGGTCCTCGAGTTCTTCTGCCCTACCATTAAGCTCAACTTCTAGAACAGATTCCACAACATCGAACCCCGTCTCTGTGACCAATGCGTCTGTAGTACAGATTGTTAGCAATGAATTTTGTTCTTGCTCGTGTAAAGTTATCAACGAAGATCCACAAGTTCTTAAAGATAAATTGGCAGAAATCAAGCAGAATCTGACAGTAAATACTGTGAAGTTGTCTAGCACAATAAGGAAAAAAAATAGTGTTCCGGATAACCGACCATCAGCTGTGTCTGTTGGTTATATGGGGATAGTCACTATGTCTGTTGTCTTCGGACTCTGTGTTTTACAGGATTTGATAACCGCACTATTGTACGTTTTGGATAAATTCAATTTGATAACTGGTAGATCATCTGTTATAAGTAAGACTGATACACCGGGTAAATCAGAACTAGACGAGAACACCAATACCACCCAAGGTTATCCGCCAAGTGACTCGCGGTTGCCATCAATTCTCGAATAGGGTGGATGAGCCAACACAGAGGTCTACAAACCATCGAATCTTACAGTTTCGCATATCCCCCAAACCTTTGCTGCATATAGACGGTTGGATCTAATGTTCGGTCAAAGAGTTAACCAGTTGATCTTGACAAAACTTTTTCTTATTAAAGACATTAGTTTTCAGTTTCAAGTTATGATTCTATAGCGACACTAAAAGTAATGCAACACTTGTGGTTTAACAAGCGCAACATTCCAACAGATGGCCTCCGGGGTAGGGGGTGGGGTCTTAAGAAAGGCAGAAGAAGATTGGGACAAACAAACCGTGTTACCTTGGTTTATTCCCTCATCAGATCACGAAATAAAGGATCGAAACTATATATGGACTTAATTCCGTGAACATGCTTTTTAACACTTTTCATATTGGAACAAATGTAAACGTCCTGATATATTCCATTGAATAGATTTAAATTGCACATTCGATATTATTATATTTAATTGTTATATTTTATGACCATTATGCAACGAATTCAGTGTTGTAATACCAATTAACACTCTCATGTGTTTCATTCAAGGATTCGCGAAACACAAGACACATTTTAGCTCATATTACGAGCACTTCTACACTACTGCTAAGTTATATTTCTACAGGGGTTCACGGTGGCTAAGTGGGTAAGACGCTGGCTCGCTAGCCTGGAAGTCGGGTGTTCCATCCCTGCATTGGCCGAGAAAGTTCATCCAGGTTTTCTGGCGTGGTCCCCCCTTGTCTGTGATGCAGAACGGAGGGCCTGACAAGGTCAGCTGTTTAGTCGTTGGGATGGGACGAAAAACCTAGGTCCCGTGTAGATATTGGCGTGCACGTAGAAGATCCCTTGACAGTCGGAATTCGATATAAGAGTAGGATGTAGTGCCGCTGTCCGGGCAAAATTTCCCTCATAGTACACTGTATGTCCGTCTTCATTAGCCCAGTAGGACGTAAAACCCCATTTCATTTACATTGCAACAGAAAGTAAATAGTGATTAACGTGTTTAAATGTCATTAAATGAATTTAAATAAGTCTATTATTTAAATTGTTTAAAATGATTTTCTAGTATGCCGAAGGTAGAACCGTTTATATTCTTTATTTTCATCGTGTCTAACGGGGGTAACTCTGTATATTATGGAAATTTTAACGTTTTAAAATAATATGGTAGTATAGGCAGGGCTGAATTTAAATGAATAGAGGCCCTAGGCTATTCCGCTAATGGGGCCCCTCCCACCCCCAAACTCGCGACCAGAGGAAGCAGAAAGTGTATTTTCAACACAATTGAGCAAAACCAACGATGATGACTACAGTGGGTGTAGGAAAAGCTTATGACAGTGTCAAATATATTCTACACCTTGGCCGAAATCTTGACAGCCTAGGCTTCAGCTTGCTTAGCCTATAGGTAAGTCCGGGACTGAGTGTGAATTTTAAATTTTAAACTAGTCGCCAAAACACAACAATTTATTCAGTTGTTCAAATGATCGCACGGCATTCTTTTCATTTCTGTATTTTGTAGAGAGAGAGAGATAGAGAGAGAGAGAGAGAGATATGTATATTTTAACGTCCACTCGACACAAACCACGCCAGTTGACTCAATGACAGAACTTATGATACAACGCGCACGCGCCAACTGCTATGTGAATATGTCAGCTATATAGTTTACCTGAACTCTAACCCGTGTTTAATCCACGCGCATCTGAAAGATCTCGTTCACGTTATTTCATTAATTGGAACTCCATATTTTGCAATTGACAGATTCTGAATTCCGATGGGATTCGCGTTCGTTGGCAAATTAAAAAATTTCACCCGAAATGTCCGGTACCGCGTTCACGTGCATTATTAGTCAAAATATGACTTAAAATCACAGGCTTTTGTAGGGATTAAAATACAACTTCTTAATATTGCTTAGCTATACTACAATAACAACAAAGTGTATCACCCGCCATAGTGTTTTGACTCGTTGAAGACAATAGAGACTTTTGGCAAGCATAAATTCCCGCGTGTGACGTCATCGATGTGTGTGTATTTCTCATACGTGATGCGGCACAAACAAATGTTCCGTATAACATCGTCGCCTTTTTACCGTCTTTTTGCTACTTTTAGACGCTGAAATGTTGTGCCATGGCGTTTTTATGAATCTATGTGTATCCTAGAACACGAAGGTATATTTTTGATGTGATTGAAACAATGATAAAGACTTAAATTTAAACATTATTTTTGGTGAGTTTTTCTCTGAATTTTCATATTTTTCCTGTCTGCCTGCCCGTCTGCATGCTAGTTGATCTACGTGCTAAATTTAAGGAGGCTGGACCTTGCAAATCTGTAAATGATGTGATTCTATGGTAAAGGGGTATAAACTTTCTGAAATCATACATTCGAGTCGAAGTCGAAGGTTTTTAATAAGATTCGACATATAATTTTATTTAATAGCTCAGCGACTGTCCAGCGACTTTACTCCGACCAGGAATTTGTAAGTTAGACACTTGACTAGTACTGATGGTGATCTTGGTAGATCACTGCCATCATGCTGTAATAGAACTAAGCTTAGCTCAGCTACTCATACGTAAGCGGCGCGAAAATCTGCCAAAACTCTAAAACTACATTGACGCAACGTATCACATGACGATACGGATGGGAAAAATTCTGCTTGCCAAAAGTCTCTATTTCGTCTGCTATCATCTCACAATACTCGCTAGTTCTAACACTTAAACACTTAAATTGGTCATGTTTTTAATTACATGTTTTAATTTAATTACATTTTCATTAAGTGAGAAAAATATGGTTTTCTTTTGTAATTCATAACTGTATGATTATATTTATAAACAATGTATTTATATGTCTGTAAATAATTTTTAACAGGAAATAGATTTAGATACTAAACAGCAAAAAAACGTCAGTACGATTTCAAAATCAGAGAGGCTGTAGAAAGTCCCGAGTAACTCTGGTGTTGTGGACACGGGCGTTGTCATGCTGGAAAATGTGGTTTCGATGACGTGCGAAATGTGGTATGAGAGCTTGATCGATCTAGCAAACTGCTGTGATGCCGCCTCCTCTCCCTGGACCAAGATTTTGGAACACCTCAGGACCCACTCTCTGGTTCAGGCCGATTCCACCCCAAACCATTATGCTTGGACCTCCCCATGACACATTGGTCAGAATAACGCTGGCCACGTCGGTGCCATATTCTGGTCCTGCCATCTGCAATTGATACGCAATACTGGCTCTCATCCGTGAACAGAACAGTTCTCCATTGTCCGTGTCGCCAGTTCTGGTGTTGTTAGGCAAACTATAGACGTTCACGTCGATAGCGAGGGGTGTGGATAGGTCCACGGTAAGGTCTACGGCAATGGATGTTCTTTCTGGTGAGACATCGGGGCACTGCATTGGTACTGATGGGTCTTCCGAGTGTTCCCACTGTCTGACGTGCTGTCCCAGGTGCCTGTTTGAAGGGATTCTGCACGTGCTGTCACACAACATGGTGGTCGTGTCGCCTTGTGGTAACCTTTGGTCTACCAGTTCGGGGGCGATCATCCGTGTTGTTGGTGGCCCAAAACCGTTGCTGAAACCTGTAGATGGTCCGAACATTGACCTGGAAGTGATTGGCAACGGCTTTGGGCAGTGTGACCAGCGTTGAGTCTTCCTAGCGCCTGGTTCCTCTGAGCTGTCGTGAGTTGTTGCAAGCGGCTGGCGTTGTAGTGTGAATGATTCAACCAGGTATGGGGGTGCATTTTATAGGGCTGGATCCTGTGAACAGCATGTGCAACATGAGTTACATGAAAATCATGAAGAACAGAAGTTAGATTGCGTTTTGGAGAACATTTTCTGGGTTTAATTCTGTGTTTGGGAAGGAGCCTTATTGCCCAGGTAAAGTTGGAGATGTTGTCACAAAACAATAAAAACATTTGGCAAGTTTTATGCAATGCGTCTATTCAGAGTAACATACCAACCTGACGTTTCTTTTGCTGTTTAGTATATAAGCTCCGGCTTGTTTTCAGATCCCGTAATTAATTATTGTATCTTTATAATATGTAAATATTGATTGAATACATACTGTTAGAAAAGAAAAGTTCAGACGTTTACTTGGAACTAAGTAAATAAAACATGTTAGGGGATTATAGATAAATTTACAAAGATTAACGCTTTTGAATAAGAGATAATCGCAAGACCATTTAAATAGGTTAAGTTAACATCTCATGGGTATTATTTAATAAATACTATATTATGTAAAATAATGTGACATACTGAACTGTGATCAAGTTGCAAGATAACGATGACCATAAAAGAGACTTGCTACTGTCATGTTAAATTTAAAACAATTATTTTGAACAACAAAAATATCTATACTATATCACAGCTTTGAAATTTAACAAATTTAGTTGGGGGGGGGGGGGTGTCAGAAAATAAATACTTACTGAGGAACTTCCAATGTACTGTGCCTATTTATACATACATTATGCAAGAGCTAAATCTGCCTATTGCAGGTTTTTTTTAGGCCTGAAATGTTCTCAAAATTATTAATTAGACATTAATTAACTTATCCGGGCAATAATCAACTGTCGATGTCATCGCTAGCCTGTGATGTTTATTGGATTAGGTTCCGATTTGCTGTTCAACTTCCATTCATGATTTAATCATGAAATGGATAATCGAGCCTCTGTGTTTTATAGTACCGACTTTAGCAATGATAATCGAGGCTAGGCCAAAAATTCAATCGCTAAAATCTCGGTTCAGAGGGGATCAATTTGACTGAAATTTTCAGCAAATCCCCTTTACATTATCTAGTTTTTAACTATTATGGTGAGAACTGCCAGCTCTTTATCTAATCTCCCATAATGTATCTTTAAATGGCCAATTTATGGGGCAAATTAGTTAGTTCAAAAGCCTCTACATGGATACCTGCTTTCGAGAAACAGAAGACTGATAGAACTTATTCCACTAGGACTAGGCCTAGGCTGCATTTTTACAATGATGATTGATACATTCCTACGCGTGTTCTACGAATAATTCAAAATTGTGAAGAAAGGGCAGGGCTGACAATCCATGACAACTCGGACCATGGACAGTCGGACCAGTTGATAGACCACTCGGACCAGCAAAAAAGACCACTCGGACCAAAACAAAAGATTGCTCGGACCAATAATAAAGTGTTATTAATAAATTGATAATTGCGTTTGTATTAATATACATCTGTTTTCTTTGAAATAATAAAGTGTTGTGTACTTAACAGTGTTATTTTCTCATCATGGAGCACATCACAGAAAATCAATTAA